TATACGTACACAAGTTACGTAAATAAAGTAAGGTAAGGTGAAAATAACTGGCGGTAAAATCACCATGCTGAGAAAAATCTTTAATTTATGAGCCATACTGGTACTCACAGAGAACATCATTTAATAGTGGTAAGTATATGGATATATGCTTTTCGGCCTTTGAACCATACAAAAGTAAAAATACCATCACTAAGGTATTTTATTTTATTTATTTTTTATTTTATTTTTATTTTGCAATTTTCGTAAGTAAGAAGCTTAATTAAGCGTATGGTACAAGCCAGAGGTGTGGTTGAACAGGGAAAACTAAAGAACCCCGCACAGAGCATGGGGTCAGCGGCTCTCGGTGAAAGTCGATGAAACTTTAAAGATTGATATAAAGTTCATAATTAAGGGAAAGCCAAAAAATTAGCTCACTTTTGCGAGTAGGAGCCAAGATATTCGCAATTGAATCCGGACTATTTTCTATCATGCCGCAGCATGGCGGAAGAATTCCGAGTCCTCTCTCCTCTCGTTGTTCAGCGTTCTCGATCAGACCTCACGTCTCTCACGTAAAGATAGGTGCTTATGCGCTCGGCCGGTGCGAATGCCGTATTCCGTCCCTCTCCCCGCATCTGTCAATTCTGTTTCAGCACCTACATTTCAGATTAAACCGACCGGCGGCGGCGCCGACACGGGAGAGGTGCGAGAGGCAGGGAGCTCCATATCGCACAGCCCGAACGAAGTGTCCTAATCGAAGGAGTGAGTGTAAACAATGCGACATCGTAGTTACCTGGTGGGGAGAGGAGGTTTTCCGGCCGAAGTGCTCAAGGAAGGTAAGGCGACACGGAGAATTTACCTCCGCCGCACAGAAAATACTCCGGGTTCAATCGCGAATATCTCAGCTTCTACTCGCAATAGTGAGCTAATTTTTTGGCTTTCCCTTAGTTATGAACTTTATATTAATCTATTAAAGTTTCATCGACTTTCATCGAGAGCCGCTGACCCCATGCTCTGTGCGGGGTTCTTTTTACAAATTGTTAATTGAAATTGAGATAAAACATAGATTAGTTTGTAGTTACTTCATGAAATCATCAGAAACAGTCATATTTCATGACTTCTCTAGGTTTCATTAACATTTTCAAAGAAATCATTTAGGTGGTGGAATGCAGAATTTTGACAGAATTTTTTTTGAAAGATATAGAAATGTTCCGGGATGATCGTTCTTGAAAAATAGTTTCAATGTAAGTCGGAGGGCATTAAAAAGTTGAATAGCAGCAAACTTTTTATTGCTCTCTGACTTCACAAGTCTTATATATTAATATTAGTTATATTATGGTGTCTGCTATTATATGAATGTATCGGTGATGAGTCATCGTTTTTCATTAAGCTGTAGGAAATTGCAAATTTGATCGTTACATAGATTTATGGTGCCGGAACAGTCATTAAGTTGTTTCTGATGAAAAAATGTTTACTATTATACTTACTTGGCTTCTTAAATTTTACCTTTGTAATTGTTTGGTTCAAAGACAGATTCGAACATTAGATCATAACTACCACTATTGATGTCGTTCTGCATGAATAAAGGTATGGTTTTTAAACAAAAATTTCTTAGTGTAGCGTAGCATGAAAAAAAACTTAACTAGATTTGTGAACAAAAGAGAGTGAAACCTGCAGCCCTCAATGAAGAAGGAACTTGAATCCCGATAACAATACCAAATGAATCATAATTTTTTGGCGCGCATACGTAGTATACCAACTTTGCGACCATTTCGACCCCCCACTCGATACAAAAACCAAGTCCCTTAGTTCCTTACCGAAAAGTGACTGCCGCGAACTTCTGAGATTTTCCAAAGCGTGTAAGAAGTTTACTAACCTGTCAATAATTATGATTTAAATTGTATTCTCATTCTGAGGCTTTCTATGTTATGTACAATAAATACCAAGAGTCTACGTCACTTGGTTCTTTTAAAAAAAAACCTAAGAATGCTCCCCGCTAATTTAAAATATGCATATATATGCAGAAGCAAACGAACTGATTCGAGAATTGCTGAGCAGTTCGGCACTCTTCGAATGAGAATTTCACTCTTCCGTTTTGTTTAAAAAGTTGCATAGACGGATATCTACACCCATGTTATGCTTTTCAAAATTTGGTACCACTGCTCTGATAGCCAGGGCCAGCCAGGACAGCCGTAAGTGCATTCTGTTATGAGCCTCAAAACTCATTAGACCATGTGCTAACCATAACACATACAGAAATCATTCGCTTTTACAGAAATCCACTTACCCTTCTTCTCCCTGCACACCGGACCACTATCCAGAAACCGAGGCAGTTTCTTTGTTCTTCCCGAGCGACCCGACCCAGACCCTCGCCCGATTGTTTACGCTTGATTAACCATTTTACCGTCACGCTAGGATTCGTCCAATTTTCGAAGAAACTGTTTCGCGTTTACTTACTAGCAATTTTTTCCTTACTCTCCGTTAAAACACGAATTAAAAGAGGTCTCATTCATAAAAATCTGCCGAATAGAAGAGAAGTAACAGTACTCAAAATCCGAAGAAATCAACGGAACTTCTCCATACGAAAAATAAAATGAAGGGAAAAAAAGAAATGTATAAATTACAATTAAATGTAATTGACCTCAGAATTTGACAAGCACTTCAATTATATAACGGAGAAAAAATTGGGAGAAATTACAAAAAAATCGCCTCTTGCAAGGGGCTTCCTTGTAAGAATTTTAACGTGAAGACAAGGTTTGAATAGCAGCAGTACTCCACAGAATACACGGTGTGCCTAAACGAACATTTTTTTTTGGTCAAAATCGAAAATTCTTTATATTTTTTAACTACAGTGTCTCTTAAGTCGTTTAAGCAAAAAAAAAAAATTCGGTCAAGATTCTGGAAAGTAAAGCCACTTCAAAAGTATTCTGGGGCTATAATAGCTAAAAAACCGGTAGTAAATCCTGTTATATTATTAAAACGAAATTGACTCCATAGTGTAATGCCTTAGTTTCTTAAATATGTTTCTCAAACATTTATACCACCAATTTTAGCCATGGGGTGATTTCCTGAGAGCCGTTTATATCACGAATTTCTCATGCAACCTTTCAAAAATCGCTTGCTTTTTGGGCAGCCGATTCGGTCATCAAACCGGGATTTAAATGGAAGCTGATAATAACTCAAAGCTGTGAGAAAATTTTTTCGATAAGTATAGGAACGGTTTGTAAATAACGAGGAGAGGCGGGCAAAGCGGCTAAAATCCGATCTAATTTTTGCCGTTTTATTTTTCTGTTAAATTAATGGAGCCTTGGACTTCTAACTGTATTCACAAATCGTTTCTGTTCAGCATATATCGATAAATGAGCATTTTCACACGTAGAATCTAATTTTCACGCCAGGGAGTGGACATATTTTGATTTTTTAGATTTTATACGGAAAATTAATGGTTCTTCGGGATTGAAATTACTTTTTATTGTTTCATGAAAAATAAATGCACTCAAAATGACTAGAGCATATTGACTTTTACATATTTGCACTCACGAAATCGGTTGGTAAATTCAACGAGTGGGTGCATCGACCTGGTATATCAAGTTTCTGCAATTTTTAACGGCAAATCGGTAGATTTTCGGGATGGAGATTTCTTACTTTCAATTCATGAATGAATAAAGCATAGACATGGTTGAACTGCTTTCCATGGAAAGACGTTTAAAGTAATAACAAAAGCAAGACATATTTAAAGCAATTGCATTTATATCGAGTCAATTTCTTTTCAATAATATAAAGGGATTAATAGTACCGGTAATTTGGGTATTTTAGCCCCAAAATTCCTTTAAATCGACTTAATCTTCTAGGAGTTCGACAGAATTTTTCCTTTCTTCGCTTGAATTATTTCGTAGCACTTTTCTTCAAGAATTTTACAAGATTTTGCTTGAGGCAGATCAAAAAACTTAAACTCTTTCGAATGGCTTTCTCTATTCACAATACACGGTCTCATCAAGGTGTGTCGTTGACCTCGCAATGTTGGATCGTGATTTCTCTTGTTGTGCTTAGCGTACCTTTATAGCGAGAGAATGGACGGATCGCTTGATGGAGAGCTTAGGGCCCAAAAGTGCAGCCACTCTTCTGAGCACCTTCTAACACACGAAATTTCACTACCAGCCTACAGATTTCAATTCTAACCAAGATGGCCAAGAATGTACATAAATGAGCCTTCTTTCGCAAAAATAAGTTAAATTGTGCAAAAAGTAAGCCAATCACATGCTTGACTTGCATGACTTTATCTTCTAGGAGTTCGACAGAATTTTTCCTTTCTTCGCTTAAATTATTCCGCAGCACCTTTTTTTAAAGAATCTGATAAGATTTTGCTTCAGGCAGATCAAAAAACTTAAATTCGTTCGAATAGCTTTCTACATTCACAATACACGGTCTCGTCAAAGTGCGTCGTTGACGTGTCGGATCGTATGAATTCTCTTGTTGTGCTACTTGCCTATTTTGAAATCTCTGTAAATGAAAACTAAAGGGGTTGATATGTGCGAGTTAATGACGCGCCTTATCAACACATTGTGTTGGAGTTACTGCTTGTGTAATCGGAGATAATGCTGAAATGTAGAATAATGGGCGCATTGAAATTTGATGAATTTTGGCAAAAACTTTTCTGAGGCTAAAATTATTCAGTAAATTTAGTGGTAAAATCGATTTTGGAAAAAAAAAAATTATCGACTGTTCTATACACCATTGAGTACCTAGGGACTCTAAAAAAATCTAGTTATTTCAAGCCATAATCGGCATTACTATTGATGTTTAAACTATTTACACTGAACCGTTCCGAGGCAAGAATGCTGGTAAACTGCACCTAATGATGCTCCACTTGAATTCCAAAAACGTTCGTCCTAAAATTGAATTCCTTCCAAAAAGGTTTCTACGTGAACCTAACCCTTCTAAGCTGTTGCAAGGTCATCTCATTTGTCCAACCAAAAGCTTATTTTCTTCCATTCCAACAAGAATAAAAATGCTAATACAATTACCTTACATCGCGTGAAAACCAGTCTGCTCTCCAAATCTTGGAGCGATAATAACGGACGGCCATCACCCTCCGGCTCCATGAGACCAGATTTCAAGGTCATTTCTCGATAAGAAATCTAGAGAAACAAAAAAACAAGCAGTAAACTCCACACCGAAAAAAAAAGAATTTGTGATTTTTACATCTTCGGGGACGTAGGATTCTTCTATTCTTTTAAAGAAAAACCCCTGTCTTCTTTGTGAAATATTCAAAATGCCTGTTATAAAATTTCACATGATAAAAGCTGATAAATGTACTAAAGAAAATTGTAATTTTAAAGTCCTTTTACTGATATTTGTAAAACGGATATAAAATTTTGCAAATCAGTTTAGAGAAAAACGCTAAAAGAGGGTTTTTTTTTATGTTTGCATTTTAAATAAAGGTAAAATTGAAAATCGCATATGTATTATTATCAAAACGAAAATTAATTTTTCGCATGACAGTTGAAGAAAAAATTACCAAATGGTGGTTTTGTTATATTTTCATTTTAAATAAAGGTAAAATTGAGCAACACAGTAGTAATACAATCAAAACGGAAATTACATTTTTACAAACCGAATTTGGAAAAAAACTTTTTTTTGGTGCAGCACAATGTGTTGATAAGGCGCGTCCTTGACTCGTATACAAGGTGAGCAAAAAAGTTCTCCCCCCCCCTACCTCTAACTTTTAAAAATATCGGTGATCGAGGATTTCGATTCTTTACCATATGTTTAAAGGGGATTGTATCGCTGGTCAAAGATTCCGGTATTTTACCGTAGCTTTTAAGGTTAAATAAGAACCATCCATTGTTTTCAAAATACCACAGTTGTAAATTTAACAATACTGATAGTCGATGATTCCGATTGTTGCATTGAAGTTTGCAACGTTGGAAACCCAGATTCTCGGTTTGCGGGAGTTTCACCATCGATCGTATGTACTAATCAAATAATAGACAGGGGTACGTACCCTCCTAAGGTACCTACCCCATGTATACGTATTGGATATTTAGCAATGAAAAGAAAATGTATTCAGCCTACTTACCTGGAACTGCTGAACAACCTTTGATATCGATTGGTGATCTGGATCTTTCAGATCGGTATACTTTTGAATCATTTTTAGTTGTTTAATAACCTCTCTAAAATGCTGAAAATACGAAAAAGTATGTTAAAAAATGGTCAAAAACTGGGTGGAATCAAATTTTTTATTTTAATTTTAGTGATTTAAAACTTCACCTCTTTTTTGAAAGAAAAAACTGTAGGTACGGTCGTGCATTTCTAAATAATTTAAATCGTTTATTCGTTTCTCGTATCTTTTATTCGTTTATTAAAAGTTTCTTTACTTTTAAGTGAAACACTCGTGCTATTAGATCATGTCTGCCGATAGCATTTAGATCAGACATCAGTTCATCCGTTATTTCTTTCCAGCCTGCAGCATTGCAAGTACAGGTTCTATAAAAAGGGCCGCGGATGGCCCTCTTAACGAACGTATGCAAAGCCATATATCTTGAGTGTATTCGTAAAGGTACCGCGGACAATACACGGGTCAAGGGTAAAATAGTCGCATGTCCCAAATTATTGGAATCGACGTTCGGATCGTTTTGTACTGCGCCCTTCAAATGAGCATAATTTTCACATCTCAATTTCTTTTCATTTAACAAAACATAACGTAATTGCTCTGACTCCATTTTAACGAACATATCAGTGGTACACTGATGAGATAGATGCCAAAAACGAAAATGTAAACCAAGAGAATCTCTCCGGACCATAATATAATAAGAGTAAAAATCCTTGCAAGTCACTTTCTTCCGGTGAGGCTTTTTAGACTTGGGATCAATCAGAAAATTTTCGAAATAGTGTAACCCTTTTAACCTTTCCAGAATGTCAGCGGATATTGCAAGGCATCGTAATGTTTATGAGTCTCTGGTGCTCTTTTGAATTTGTCATCTCGTGTATGCAAAATGATGTTACGTATTCCTGATTCTTATCCTGTGACTAAGGCCACACTTTCATTATCAATGGTGCATTTGTTGAATTTGTAATTTCCCGCCGATCATTGATCAATCGGTGTGCCGAACCTCATTGGTCATCTTCCCCTCTTATCAACATCATTATATCCGCTCATGATCGCACCCAGTTAAGTTGTATACGTTATTTAATAGAAATCAAATTGTATAAGTATTTTAAATGAATATAAGTGCCTCCGCATAAGCTTTCAGTGATAAATTGGTCTTTTTATTGTGTTACTTCAACATGGTAGCAGAGCGTGGCTCAAGAGATTCAGGCAACTTCAATCGAGGACTAGGAAGTTACCGCAGCAGAGGATACAATGCAAGAAAACCGAGCAGAGGTTTCAACCAAAGTAATGCAGCTTCGACGTCTAGTAATAAATACTTCTACCCTCCATACGATGAAAATACCTTGAACAGTGGGAATTACTTCGTAACTTCAACTTCTAGTTCCGTACCTAAGTCTCTTATCTGCAAGCCATTCCTCTGATTCAAATCTGTATGTTACATCATGTATCTGTATCTGTATGTTCTGTATGTACTTTAGATAGTGGATATAGCGACCATATTGTGAATGATGAATCCCTTTTTTCAGAACTTTCTTATCTCGAAACCTCTCTCGAAATTAAGGTAGCTGATGGCTTTATTTTAAAAGCTGAAAAACTAGATAAAGTGTCTATCTTTTGTAACGTCTTTGGTAAATTAATCAAAACTGAAATCAATAATGTTTTTTATGTGCCAGAAATGAAACGTAATTAATTAATCGTATCAAGAATTAGCGACAATGGTTACCGTGTAGTTTTTCTGGAAGATTGTGCTAAAATTTATAATACTTTAAATGAAATTATCTCGATTGCTTTTAGAAGTGAGAATATGTATAAATTGAAATGTCCAGTCAATTGCAATAATGCCAATAGAATTGAAGTTAACAACGTTATTAGTAACACTGAAAAATGGCACCGCGCATTAGGTCACATAAACTTTAACGATCTTAGAGAACTTGTAAATTTAAAATTAGCCGATGGTTTACCGAATACTTTGAGTAAAAGAAATTTAGATTGTGAAATTCGTCTAGAAAACAAAATTTCCAAACTCAAATTCAATAATCAAAGAGGTCCTACGAGCGATATTCTAGAAGTTATCCATACAGATGTAAATGGACCTATCAATCCCCTTGGCTACAGAGAAGAACATTACTTGTCAAATTTTATTGATGATTACAGTAGTCTTTGCTTTCCTCATCAAATCCAAAAGTGATGTATAAGCTGCTTTATTTCATATGTTAATTTTGTTGAAAATCAAACTTAAAAAAAGGTCAAAGAAATACGCTGTGATAATGGGTCTAAATATTTAAACAAAGGAATTCATGATTTTATCAGACAAAAGGGAATTTACCTGCGACCTTGTCTTGCTTATACACATGAATTAAACGGAGTTGCAGAACGCTTTAATAGGACGATTATGGACAGAACTAGGTGTCTTTTAAGGGAAACAGGTGTTGCACATAAATTTTGGCCTGAATTAGTTTCAACTGCAACATTCTTATACAACAGATCTCTTGCAAACACAGTAGGTACTAGTAAAAACCTCATATGAAATTTTCTTTAACTCAAAACCATTTATCAAACCTAATAATTTTGGGGACTACCTCTTTTTGTTATGGTTCCTGATGTGAGAAGGTACCCTTCAAAATTAGGATGCAGAGAAATAAGAGGAAGTCTAATTGGTTACACTGACTATGGGTATAGAATTCTAATTGGAGAAAAAGTGGTTGTTAGTAGACATGTAAGATTTATTCATGATGCTCAAAAATAGTATTAAATTAGAAAATAAATCTCCATGTACAGCAAACAAAAACGAAGAATATGTAATTGTCGATGATTCTTCTAATCTTCTAAGACCAAAGAATAATGATATTGAAAATCAACCCCCTGATCAAAATGTTATCAATGATAATACCCCTGATGCTCATCAATTTACTCCAACACAACCGCCACCATCTTATTCCCCCAGACCTAAACGCATAACTAAACCACCAAGACGAGTTACCTATCGAAGACCCTATTTTTGCTAATGTTTGTAATATTCCTGTCCTTAATAACTATAAACCAGCAATTATCTCTCCAGATCATGTAAACTGGCAAGAAGCTATGAATGATGAATTGAACAGTTTAGAAGAAAATAATACTTGGCAACAAGTTGACCCTCCCGATAACAGAGAAATTATCAAAACAAAATGGATTTACAAAATTAAGCCTGATGGCAAATTTAAAGCCCGCGCGTCCCAAGTAGCAGTGATCGCGATAAATTGCGATTTATTCGGAGAACGTATCGCGATTTTATCGACGTCGCGATTTATTGCAATATTATCGGGAGAAAAATCGCGATAAATTGCAATCAAATCGCGATTTTATAGAGATAAAATTGCAATAAATTGCAATTTTTCATCAACCCCCACTAACGCATGAATGACGCTTATGAAAGATGTTTCTATGCCGCCGCCGCCGTTTTTACCGAGGTCCGTTGGTAACTTTACCATCTCATTTTTTTTATCAATTATTGGTAATGTTGCAAAGACAGACTGGTAAGCTTACCTAAAAACCGGTATTTTTACTGATTTTTTCAGGTAAGAATACCACTTTTATTGGTAATCAATTCCCGGTGACTTTACCATCTCATTTTTTTTATCAATCATTGGTAATGTTACAAAGACAGACTGGTAAGCTTACCTAAAAACCGGTATTTTTACTGATTTTTTCAGGTAAGAATACCACTTTTATTGGTAGGTAATCAATTCCCGGTGACTTTACCATTTTATCTCGGTAATTCTACGACAGTCGATAAAAAATATGGACCAAGGTCCATCGGTAACTTTGCCATCTTACTACTATTGGTAATTTTACAGAGACAAAATGATGAGATTACCAATAGAACCTTATTTTACCAACCGTACTTCAAGGTATGAAATGTAATACAGAGGAGGGAAAATAAAAAAAAAATTCCGATGAAAATTCGGTGTCAGTCTACGCAGTGACAAAAGTTGTAATGTTGCGAAGCGACGATCCACCTAAGGGGCTTCAATTCGCACTCGTTAGTCATGTGGCGACCATAGCCTAGTGGCAAAGTGCTGGCCTTCCACCGTAGCGATTGAGGTTCGAATCCCCGCTGAGGCTCCGGGGATTTTACGCTCGTCTTCGTCAAAGGACCTGACGGCTAAACCTAACGGCAATCGGCTAACAGCGTTAATTCCTTTTTTTTTGACGATTTTTTCGGGCCGATAAAATCGCAATTAAATCGCGAAAAGATCGAGGATAATCGCTCAGATGTTGATGATCCTAGCGATTTTATCGCCGATAAAATTGAGGATAATTGCGATTTTATCGGCGATAAAATCGCGATTTTTCCGTTGAAAAATGCTACTTGGGATGTTATCGCACAAGGTTACCAGCAACATTCTAGCTTATATGAAGCAATTTTTTCTACAGTTGCCCGTTTATGTTCTTTGAAAATAGTTTTAGCTCTTGCATGTACTTATAACTAAACTAGTCGTGATTAGCTCGCTTTGCGAGCTGACACGTCTAGCCGGGGAGTGCCCCTGGACCCCAGTTCTACGCTTCGCGACGAACTTGCGACTCGCTCCGCGAGCCGCCACCGCCCCGCACAGTTTTTAACATTGATGAGGAGACAACATCTATGTCTTAATCTTCTTTTTCACCAAGTTTTACAGAAATTGATGTTCTAGGAGTCCGGACCGCGTTTTCGTGCGGGGCCGCCATCTTGGATTTGGAAATGTTGGAAATCTGACCAAAAATGCGAGTTTTCCGTCAAAATACACCTCCTAATACCGAATTTCACAAAAATCGATGGATCGGAAGCCAAGATAACAACTTAGACCACGATCGCCATTTTT